CCCACCCCGTCCCCCGCACCTGTGTCCATCTCTCGCCGCTTCCCACTGTCCCACACCTCACAAAGCTCCACCCCTCGCTCCCGCCACAGCCCCTGGGCCATGGTTTGGGACCTGCGGTCTCCCCTCTAGGTTTCCACTGGGCATCTTCCTAGAATTCTCGCCCGGCCTCTGCTCATCATTTTCCCTGGCTCCCCACTGTCCTTAGGGAAAAGAGAGCCTCAGCGTGTCTCTGTCGTCTGACTCCTCTTGCCCGGCCTCGTCTCTTCCCAGTCCCCTGTGTCCCACTTTAGAACGTCTCGAACCACAGGCCCCTGCCTGCTGCTGAACCACAAGTTCTTACATTCTGAACAGCGACTGCTGTGCCATTCACTGGGAGACCGCAAGAAACGGGCCAGGCAAAGGCAAGGGACACAGCCACGTGGGTCCGAACTGCCGTGTGTCCCCGAGCCCTGGCACGTGTCCTGTGGGTCGGAACATGAACGGAGGTCAGACTTGCCTCCTCACACTCTGAACTGCACAAACAGTACACTGAAGTGAGCAATACAGAGAGCAGAGGTGTCAGGAGGCCTTTATGTGAGTGTTTTGCAGCCTCCTGCACGACTGTCAGTGTCCCCATGGCTGAGACAGCCGTCACTGCTTCCTGTCCCTCACAAGAACGCGGATGACACAGCTCTAAAATGAGGGCCCTGTAACACAGCCAAGCGCCCCGTGAAGGCTGTGGCACTGCTGAAATGCTAATGTCCGAGGTATTCAGCCCTGGCGACTCCCAGGTTGTCATTCCCATTAGTGCTGCTCTTCTTTTTGTGACCAGAAGTAAGCGTTCCAAATGTGACATTCGTGTTCGTTACAGAATGAAATCACTGGTCCATTTAATTAACACTCGCTGTAAATAGTCGGAGAACCCCCAATGCCAAGGTGGCTGCAGGAGGAAGCGAGGCGCGGGGCTGGAGGCGGAGCCCTAGCCAGGTCCCGGCTGGACAGACTTGAGGCTTCTGCGAGCTGAAGGCCAGGACGCCCTAGACTGCAGAGCCAGAGCACCTGCGTCCCTGCTGCACACTGGGTCATCGCAGCCGGGGACTGCGGAGCGTCTGCTGGCTGAAGACCTGGTGCTGACGATCGTGCTGGGAGCCCACTCAGGCACAAGACAAGCAGATCCAGACCGGTCTGGACTAACAGCTCCCGGGCCGCCACCCACACCGGGCCACGCGGGCACATTGGACACGCAGGGCGGCCAGGAGGTGGGGAGAGCGTGGCAGGAGCCTTCAGGGGTGGGGGGAAGCCAAGGTTTCCGCGGCCCTGCCCAGCCGGTGTCCTCGGGATGGCCAGGAGCGGGAGGGAGGCAGCCGCATCCAGAGGAGGAGCGTGCTGTCCGCTCCGAGGAAGGCGGTCTTTCTGGGGCCTGCCCAGCACGCAATTTAGACTGGGCTTAGGGGTCCCCGCGACGCGACCCTCCAAGGCCAACACCTGCCTGGTGGTGCTCTTTGTGATCCTGCACTGGGGAAGCAAGCGGAGGTCCACTGGGCAGGAGAGGAAAGGCACAGCGCCGCCTACTGCTGGAGAGGAGAACCACAGTGCTCGAGGCTGCGTGCAAATAAAACCAAGTTCTGGAAAAGCAAAGACTTTGCAGGAGCCTGCGCTGCTTCTGCGCACGAAGCCGGCTCCCGCCCTTGGTGAGCACACGGAGGCACCCCCACTCTTCCTCCGACGCTTGTGCCCGAGCAGCCCTGCTGTACCTGGGACTCGGGGTGCATCGAGCGTCCACACTTACAGGAAAGGAACCTGCCAGGCCCCGCCCAGCCGGCTGCTGCCCGGGATAAAGGTTAGCAGGAAACCGCTTTCCGGCTTCTGGCAGGAGGAGGAAGTTTTTCTGCCTCACAATATGCCTGTTATTTCCTCTACCTTCCTCACTCCCCGTGGCCAGAGCCAACGAGTGGGAGGAAAGGAGTGGGGATTGGGGGACGCCACCTCATTTTATCTTTTATCCTTATCTCCAGTAGCCCATGTTTGCCGTGCAGGGTGACTGTTCGCCATGGGGAGCCGGCACGTGCATGGAACACATTCTCATTCTTTTTTCTTGGCCCTACCTGTTTGCAAAAGATCTGTCTTCCTGTTTCCTATGTTGCCACATCATTTGTATTACTACAGAATTGGAAAGAAGCAAAGTCTTAGGTTAAAATATTATTCCAGCGTAAACTGGGATGGGCACAGAATGTCTACTCTTTAATTCTCGAAGCAAATGGGATGAAGACGTATGGCGTTGCCTTCAGAACGAGGCGATTTCAGACCCTACGGGTTGAGACTCAGGACGGGGTTAGAGCAGGTCACTGACAGCCTCGAGGTGTCTGCTTCCCGGGTCAGTGGTGGCCGGCGGTGGGGTACGGAGCAGCGCGCACGGAAAGGCCTCGTAACCGGAGATCAGACGACTCAGCAGTCGCGTTACTCTTCCTCCCTCTGTTGCCTTGCTCACCCTTTTCACTGCGGTAGGGATTCTGAGCAAGGGAGAATGGAGAGGAGAGCAGCCGAAAATGACAGAAAACCACACATCGGATTCGCGGTCTCACGTTTGTGCCAGGCACTGTCTTGGGACTCAAGATACAGAAATGGGCGAGTCGTGGTCCCGGTCCTGGGGATGGCACCTGGCCGTCAGAGATGAGCAGCATCCTAGGCCACGGGAGGGCTGTTCTTGGGGAGGTGAGCAGGGCCGCAGAAGTGGCCTCGAGGTCCTGTCGGGTGTGGAGGGCCATCCTCGAGGTGGGAAGGAAGGACCGCTGGAACAGACACGGAAACCACATTCGTCTGGGATGGTGAAATGTAGGTTGCAAATGATTTCTCAGGTGTCAGTAACTTCCAGGTCTGGCCCTGACGTCCCGCATGCCCGCTCCTGACCGTGACTGCAGCTCAAGCGAAAGCTGCTGCCCGCCTTATTTCTTAGTACCGGAATAATCACAGTGGCCTCCTAAGCTTGGCTGTGCCCTTGGGAGGAGAACCACCGCTGGGGATCTAAACCTGTAGGGTCTGAAACAACTTCACTTTCAAAGCAGTGACGCCATGTGAGTCTGTACCAGTGGCCTCCTCCTTTCCCCTCTCCTGTGTTTTCCTTCTTCTCTTCCTTCCTTCCTTCTGTTTATTTTGCTATCCTGACTGCCCCTTGCCAAAAGTCCTTAGTAAAGGATTTAGTTTTAGGTTTAAAAATTAAATCAGATTTAACGTATTTGGCTTTGAGGTGTAAAGTGTGCTCCTGTATTTAGTTCTCCATTATTTGAGAGCTGAACAGACCCTGCTGTATGGAGACCCCATGATTTACAGCACTTGTCCAAAACAGAAAGTAGGTGCTTTGGGGACAGAAAGGGCCAAGTGGCGGAGATGACCCAGGCGGCGCAGTCCAGGGCCTTGCAAGTGTGAGAACCACTTTGCGGTTCTTCAAGAAACCTGTAGGCTCTGCGTGATGGTAGCTGTACCACTGTTGTCTGTTGGTTGAGGAATTGTGCTGATGTCTAAGGCTGCACCTGACTCCCTCATGCATTTTCCAGCGAGGCTGTGCTATATCATAACAGCGGCTCTGCTCACATTGAGAAGTGACAGTAGACACTGTCCAGCCTGGAGACCAGGGCACTGCTGCTGAGCTGTGGGCGTGGCCTGGCCCTCAGATGTTTGTTTGCCCTGTAAGTGCTGCCTTGTTCTGGTGCTGCCGCTGCTGCTGCTGCAATTACTGTCATTTTAATTTGAATTAATTTCCGGTGTTTGAAACTGGGAGCCTTCTTGGGCAGAGAGTCACTGTCCCAGCCCACTGTCTTCTTCTGCAGTGGGGAGAAGAGGAGCCCAGTGGGGCTGTGTGACTTGGCCGCAGTCGCACGGACCCGGGACTGGGCCCCTGGTCTTGGGTTCCCTCCCCAGGACTCTGGTCATGACACCGCAGCGCTACGCTAGAGAGACAGCGCCTCTTCCTCTCACCTCGCCGTCCTTGCCTCTGCCCCTTGGTCACCAGGCTCTAGGAGCCCAGTGGCCAGTGTCCCCCCATCTAGTCTGTGCTGTCGCATCCGCTGGGAGCATGCACGTTCCTGTCATTCCCTGTCCCGGCGCGGCGTGCACCTTAGCAGCTCATCTTGGGCAGTACAAGCGCATTGTCTGATCGCAGAATGTAATAAACTCCATTCAGGGTGCAAAGGCACATTTAACGTAAACTTAAATAATGTCAGCATGTTTCATCTTGAGAAAGCTTCAGCTGGGTAGAAATTCTGTTCTTATTTGGCTTCATATGCATTAAGAACAGTGTTCAGAGCCTCCTGACAGCGCTGTGTGCGTAGAAATCAAGCCACACATTGCCATGTGGAAACCATTTCTGAGAGAAATGTGAGCCCCTCCCCCGTTCAATGAAATTGAAGAAATCATCTAGAAATCCCACGAACAGTGATTTAGGACAAAAAAATCGTGCATGAAAGCTAGCCTATGAGAAGGTGGCAGGCAGGTAAGGAGGAAGTGGATGGGGCTCAGATTGGGCCCCACCGGGCAGCAGGCCGTCCTTGGCTGTGGGCCTGGCCCACTGAGTGTCCGTGAACAGTGCTGATGCCCCCAAAAGAAGCCGGAAAAGCTCCCGCACCTGTCTCTTTCCCTCACGGAGCGGCAGGAAGCCACGCAGTCTCTCACCTCCACTCCATCTCTGCTCCCACGCTGGCTCACCTGCACCTCTTCCCTTTCAGGTTCTACATTGAAAGCATTTCCTACCTGAAGGACAACGCAACCATCGAGCTGTTCTTCCTCAACGCCAAGTCCTGCATCTACAAGGTAGGCGTGTCCTCTTCCTGCATGTCCCTCCCAGAGGCTGGAAAGCCAGGCTGTCCCTGGGGCAGTGTGGACCGGGAGAAGTGGTGCTTTGGGAAAGGAAGTCATCAGCCAAACGCGGCAGCTCCTCTGCTGTTCTGACCCTGGCCCCTCCTCAGAGTCCACTCCCCGAGGTGCTGAGTGCAGGCGACAGGTGGCCTCACCAGCTCAGGCTTCAGGAGCTGAGGGCCGAGTTCCGCCCCTGCTATTTCACCTCGGTCCGCAGGGTCCCTCAAAGGGCTGCTGTGGATCTTCAGGGAGGCGTTCTGCTCTTTTCTTCTCAACAGCAGAACACACATGCATCATCCCCTGGCTTTTCTTTCTTCTTTTGAGGCGCTGGGGCTTGAACCCTGAGCCTCACACATGCTAGGCAGGGTCCCACAGCATCCCCAGTCCACCACAACCACCTCTGAGCATGCAGTTCAGGGGCAGAAGGCACATTCACTCTTTTGTACAGCTCTCATTGCAATGCTTTCATCTTGCAGAGCTGAAACTCTGCACCCATTAAGCAGCGCCCCTTCCCGACTTCCACTGGCAGCCTCCACTCTTCTTTCTGTTGCTACGAAGCTGACCACACTTAGAGGGCTCGTGTAAGTGGAGCCATACAGTGTCTGTCCTTTGGCATCTGGCTTATTTTGCTCTGCGCAGTGTCTTTAAGGTTTATCTGTCCTGGGAGCATATGGCAGTTTCCTTTTTATGAGCGAGTAATATTCCAGTGTGTATAACTCTTTGTTTCTCCATCTATCCATTGGTGGACATCTGTCTTGATTCTACCATTGGCTGCTGCTGTGCACACAGGCACAGTGATCTCCCCTGGACACCGTTTTCAGTTCTTTCAAGTAATCCCAGGACGGAATTGCTTCGCTGTATTTTCCGTGTTTGAGGAATGGTCGTTCTCCTTTGCATAAGGGCTGTACCATTTCACATTCCCACCCACGGTGCACAAGAGGTCGTTTCTCCACATCCCGCCAACACTCTTCCTTTTTACTTTCTGTTTGTGTATTTTCAAAAGTAAACATCCTAATGGGCATGGAGAAGTATCTCGTTGTGGATTTGAGCTGTGCTCTCCTAATGATTAGTGATACTGAACGTCTCTCTGTGTGCTCACTGACTGTTTGTGTGCCTGCTTTAGAGAAGTGCTGACTCTGGTACAACCCTTAACAGAGAGGGACAGTCACAGCCTGTGCCCTGCGTGTCTTCAGCGCTTCCTCATGGAACAACCCAGGCACCCGCACACATCTCTGGAACAAAGCTCCTCTTGAGGAAAGGCCTTGCAGAACTCACTTGGGTCAAGAACTACTGGAACATACTAAACATCCATTCCACCAGCTGCCCCGACACGTACAGTGGAGCCTCAAGTTATGACCAAGCTGACTTGGGTTATGACTGGAATTTTAGTCTTGAGTGACAACCTGAATTCCAGCCACGGTGCTTCCAGATGGTCTCAGACACAGATTTAACCCTCAGGAATTCTGGAAGGGACACGACAGCTCCTCTCCTGTGTGAGCTTAGCCTTCATTGACCAACTTGAGTGACAGCCAGCCCTCGGGAACAAATTGAGCTCCTAAGTCGAGGGTCCACTGTATGTTTTCTTAGTCTTTTCCACTGCTGAAATAGAAAACCTGAAACTGGGAAACTTACTCATAGGGACCTGGCCGCACCATCCATGCGGAGTCCTACGCTGTCCACTGCGCAGGGACAGGTTAATGTAAGAGGTTGATGTAACTCATGTTCCTGGATACCAGGAGTACGGGACTGGCATCAGCTCCACACTGGTGAGGACCTCAGGGCACAGGGCACCGCAGTGGTGAGCACTTGTGCACAGAGGAGGCCTCCCTTTGTAACAGTGGCTCTTAGACTCACCCCTCAGCATCCTTCCTTCCCTTCGTGGGGTGGCATCTCCCGACCTGTTCCTTTCCAGGGGCCTCACCTCCTCAAGGGGTCCCCACCTCGGCATCACTGCCCTGGGGGCCGTTCGGCGACAAAGCACAGCACACAGGATGGCCCACGTGTGGCCTTCATCATGCTTCCATGGGTCAGCTCCTTAGCAGTCCCGGAGTGCAGCCAGCCCTGCGAACTCAACAGCACTCAGGCTCAGAGCTGAGCGCTTCTGTGAGTTGTCGCACCCAATCTTTACAGCTTTTTCTGGTGAAGGTGAGGCATGAGGCGATTCACATATTTAGTGACAGCAGAGTTAGCAGCTGTGGGGCAGCCTGACCCCAGTCACAGGGCTCCCCAGCCCCGCTGTACCCTGCGGCCGGGCCCCCATGCACTGGACGCTGTAGGACTCTGCATTGGACAGTGGGCTGTGTCCCTGTGCCATGGACGGTGTAGGACTCTTCAGTGGACAGTGTGGCCGGGTCCCTGGGCAGTGGACACTGTAGGACTCTGCAGTGGACGGTGTGCAGCCCCAAGAACTGCAGAACAAGCATGTCTGTGGTTAAGGCATCACTGTGTATCTACACAGGATTTCAGTGCGATCTCAAGGGTAGTGTTTTTGTATTAATGAGCTCTGGTTTGGAGGAATGCAACAAGCCACCAAACTTAAGAGTTGGAACCCACCCCAATAAATGCATTGCACGGAGTAAGTCCACCAAGTGCAGATGTTCAAGCTGATGCAAGGCCTGGCAGAGATCATGGTCAGTGCTGTGGGAAGACCTCGCCTGGAGGTGGCTGCTGACCCAGGACCTCCACTGGACTACGTCCCAACCCAATACTTGGACGACAGTATCTTTGGTTTTTGTTGAATGGAGAAAAAGACACTTACTTGCATTCCAGGTACTTGTAGATTCCTTCCTAAGCCCTCGTGTTCTCATTATAAAGTGGAAGCAGTAATTTTGTCCAGATAACTCACAGATTGTAAGAACAGCTGATTTTTTTTTCTTTAATCAGTATGAACCCATGTTGAAAAAGCTGAGAATTGGGCCGTGAGTACTGCCCACCAGGGGGCAGACTTGGGCTGAAGTAAATGGCTGCAAAGGTGCTGAAACCCAGGAAATCAACATTCAAGCCAGGCGAAAGTTCCCTCAAAGAGTACTGGGTTCAGATTCCTAAGTAAAGGGAGAGAGAACAGCTTCTTGCTTGGAGTCATTCACGTCTGGTCACGAATGCTGAGCCAGAGCTGAGAACCATGCACACACAGGAGCATAGGATTCATGGAGAATAAAAACAGGAGAAAAAATCCTTGGAAGTCGGTATTACCTATTTCCCAAATGAGGGTCAGGATGCCTTAGAGCAGCCCCATTTAAAGTGAGAGTGCCACCACATCAGCCCGCCTGCCGGGTGGCGCATGGGGACATCATTCCGGTCCCCCAGCACTCTCAAAACCTGTCCTCGCCACACAGGTACCCACAAGATGACCAGCACATGCTTCTCTAAAGTGTGGAAGGAGGCCAGGCAGCAGCACAGGGCCACTGTCCCCCTCAGAGGGCAAAGTAGTGTTCTCACTTGCGGGAACTGACAATTTACAGAAAGTTTGTTGCCTGTGTTTGTTGGGAGCCTCCTGACCTTGGGGCAAAAAGAGGAGGAATCTTCCACTTCCCATGAGACTCGGAGATGAAGAACAAGGAAGCAGACCAATGTGTGCTTTCTCCGGTGTCCGCCACCTTGAATGTGTACACATAAGAGAAGGCCATGGAGCAGGGTGACAAGGAGCTCAGTTTTTGCTGAAACAGACTCGGGGGTTCCCTTCCCACTTCTGCCTTGTACTAAAATGCACTGCACTCCTTGCCGTGGCACCAAACTTTATGTTTTCCTTTGATTGAAGAAGGGTTTTGAAGCCCACCTGTGTCTCCTTAGAAGGCACGTGCTCAGCTCTGTCCCAGGCATGGCATTAGCCACCTGGACTCAGACCAGAGCTGTTTCTCTTGGCCCTGGTCTCCTCTGAGCCATCCGCATGTGTCCTGGCACTGTGAGGTCTTGGAGCGCCCAGAGGTGGGGCAGTCCAGGGACCTGTTGTGTGCCGCTGCTCTAAGCTTTGGTTGAACCTGAAGTTCAACATCAGCTCCCTGCCTATTTCCTGGGAACTGATTCCTACAGTGAGTTAAAAATCTAAATTGTTTAGGTAAAATAAGCTGCTCATCCTGCGTCCTCAAACACCAATTTTGTTCACATTTGAAAGCATTAAGATTCATTTTTGTCAGGGGCTGGGGTGTAGCTCAGTAAAACCTAGCCTGTGCGAGGCCCTGGGTTCAATCTCCAGCAGTACAAAGTTTTATTTTTGCAAAGTAACATATAATTTAAAAGTCAAATGGTTCTAAGGCTGATTTTAAAAAAGTCCCTCCTCATCCCCCATCAACAATTTTAACTGTTTCTTCTAGTATTCGCCTCTGTATTGCTAAATAAATGGCATGGCTATTACTTGATTTGTCCATCTTAGGTTTATTGAGTTATCTTTAACATGGATAAGGACTGGGGTGTCCCTTACAACCACCCCACTTTTCCCATTTCCTCAGTAGTGTAATAGCATCAGTTTGGGTTAGAGTCAGCAGCATGATGTTGCTATGACTAATCCAAGTCATATCCTGTGGTTGCAATTCCTTTTTGAGACAAGCAGTTGTTTTACTACTTAAAGAGAACCATTGCCTTGCTTTTACTTGTTTAGTTTCTATGTGCCCTTTGCTTTCATCCAAAATCTACAGATTTCCAAATGTATTCCATCATTAATGTCCAATGCAAGGGAAATCAACTATCTCTTTGGTTTGATGTTGGTTTCTGCTGCCACCACGGATGTCCCTGAGACCTCCCTCCAGGAGCCCTCTGCCGTCCTGCTCGAGCCTGGACTTGGCCTCTTAGTTCTCGCCCCCTGGATACTGCCTCCCTATCTGGTCTTCACCCACCTCTGCCTGTATGAGGCCCCTCTTCCTGAATCCTGTCTTCCTGTTTTTTGTTTTATACCATTGTTTCCCTGGAGAACATCTTTCAATAAACCCAGAAAATGCACACAAGAGGACTAAAATTTGGAA